GCAGCAAGCACTTGTAAACCCTGAACTCTAACGTGTAAGTCTAGACTTTCTGGAGAACTAAAGGCAAGCTGGACTTGACCAAAAGAAAAGAACTTGTGTGTCTCATGGTCCAGACGCAACCCGGGAAAGGAAAAGACAACTCACAGAATGGGAGAGAATATCTGCCAACAGCATGTTTGATAAGGATCTCACTTTCAGAGTGTAAAAAGAACTCTGCTCATTCAACAATAAAATGATAACCTATTGTTTTAAATGGTCAACATCACTTCACTTCATACTTCAGGGAGACGAAGCAAGGCAGGCAGGAGCTGGGCACAGACGCGCATCCCCACTGTCCCAAGTGCTTGGGAGATGAGTGGGAAGGAGGCTTGAGCCCAGAGTTCAGCGGAAGGGAGGGGGTAGGGAGGGAAAGGCAGAAGAGCGAACGCTAGTAAAAATACAGTGAACCTGGACCTCTTCAGGAGGCTTTGCAAACACACGTGGGCAGCTCTTCCTGATGCTAAGCACCCACTCACCAGACAACCCAGGAATTTCACTCCTATGTCTGCACAGCCGGGATTGGAAAGTCACACAGCCACACAAAAACATGAGCACTCCTAATGACCCGGCGAAGGAGTAGAGCCAACCTGCGCTACGGCAGTGACTCTTTTCTCTTTTTTTTTTTTTTCCAAGACAGGGTTTCTGTGTCTAACAGCCCTAGCTGTCCCGGAACTTGCTCTGTAGACCAAGCTGGCCTCAAACTCACAAAGACTGGCTACCTCTGCCTCCGAGTGCTGAGATTAAAGGGGTGGGCCACCACTGCCCGGTGATCAGTGGTTAACCTGTGGGTCATGACCCTTTTGGCAAACCTCTATCTCCAAAAATATTTACATTACAATTCGTATCAGTAGCAAAATTACAGTTATGAAGTAGCAACAAAAATAACTGTACAGTTTGGGGTCACCACGACATAAACATTAGGAAGACTGAGAACCACTGACATAGAAAAGTGAATGAAAACCCAATGTGAAACGGGGCATGGAGGGCTGCAAGCTTATGGCCAGCCTGCTCTAGACGGTGAATTTTATAGACTAGTGATCAGCTATAAAATGGAATTCTGATGTTCACAAGAATATGGATAAGCCCTAAAAACAGGCCGAGTGAAAAACTGCAGCCAAGAAAAACAACAATAACAAACATGTGACTGTATGGCTCCCTTTATAAGAAACGCCAGAAGAGCCAGTCCACAGACAGGAAGAACAGAAGCCAGGGAGAAGCAGAGTTCATGGCCACTGGGGGGGAAATCACAGAATGTCCTAGAGTTGGTTACAGTAAATGCCGTACATCTCTGAATACACTGAAAACCATTTAAACCGTATGATTTAAATGATCTGTATGGTAAAACTATTGAGGTTTTTTTGTGATTTATTTATTTTTATGTGTGTTGGTATATAGACAGAAGTTTCTCTCCTGCTCAGTTCCCCAGCCATTCAGTCCCAAAGATACACACAGAAGCTTATATTAATTATAAACTGTTTGGCATATTGTTCAGGCTTATTACTAACTAGCTCTTATGACTTAAATTTACTCATTATTCTTGTCTATGTTTAGCTACGTGATTTCGTACCATTTCTCAATGAGGCATTCTCATCCTGCTTCCTCTGTGTCTGGCTGGTAACTGATTCTCTCTGCCTTTTGACCTCCCAGAATTCTCTTAGTCTGGTCATCCCACCTATACTCCTGCCTGGCTACAGGACAATCAGTGTTTTATTAAACTAATACAAGTGATAAATCTTTACAATGTACAAAAGCATTAACATATATCCCACAGCGTTGGTATTTTGTCTGTATGCAAGTGTTGGAGCCCCTGGAACTGGACTTACAGACAACTGTGAACTGCCATGTGGGTGCTGGGTATTGAACCCAGGTCCTCTGTGAAGAGCAGCCGGTGCTCTTAACCACTGAGCCATATCTCCAGCCCCACTACTATTTTTTTTGATTGATTTATATATAGTGTTTTGCCTACATGTAAGTATTTACACCACATGCATACCAGGTGCCTGCAGGGGCCGGAAGAGGGTGAGGGAAAGTTGTGAACCACCATGTGGGTGCTAGGAATTCATTGAAAGAAATCCCCAATGCAACCGGTGATTTTTTTTTTTTAAAGAAACCTGTGTGTGTGTGTGTGTGTGTGCAGATCAGATTACAACCACAGTCTCTTTGCTGTGCTCAGCTATGCACACCAGGCTAGCTGGCCCATGAGCTCCTATAGATGAGTCCGATCTTGCCAAAGAACACTGGGTATACAGACACACACCACGGAGGCCAGCTTTACATGGGTTCTGGGGATCTGAACTTTTGTCGTTACCCTTCCATGGTAAGGGCTTTTACCCACTGAGCTATCTCCATAGCCCTTCAGTGACTTTCCGTAAGACAGTCCCTCTTCAGCTCACGACCCCAGCCTAGTTCACCCCTAAAATTAGGCCCAGTCTCTTAACCAAATATGTGGACTCCAGGAAGATATGAAAAAGTATCACATACTTCCTTTGCTGTTGTTTAACGACAGCATCTCTCGTGACCGAGGCTGATTCTTAACTCCACTCCTAAGGCTAAGATGGCAGATTCGTGCCACCACACCCGGAAGGCACCGTGTATTTCTGAGCGTGCCTATCACTACTCTACCTCGTCAGGAGGGAAGCCTGGCCTACTCCCTTCCAGGGAGAACTGACAGTCACACACTTCTGGCAGGCACATGAAGGGGACCATTTGGGAATAAAGACACAGAGGGCCTCCGAGCACAGGTTTGTTTGACGGGACCTCCCCCCCACCCGAAGTGACAGCTTCCCCAACCACCTTCTGTCACACCCCTCCTGTCACTGTTTACTGCTACACATGTCTGCCCCCACCCCATGTAACCTGTACCTAGGGGCCAAGGGCCACACAACAGATGAACATTCAAAACCACCACCAAAGCCTGTACAAGTCAGTGGCCAATTCCTATTGGCTGACAGAAGTGTTTCCTACCCGAAAGAAAACCAGAGCCCTCCTCCCCACCCATGGGAGTAAGTGGCCCACCAGCCTGTAAAGGGGACTCTCACATGACCCCCCAAAAGCACCCTTTCTGCCCCAGAACTTCCACCTCTTCGCTCCTTCCTTATCATCTAGCTGCAGGCACACATATTGCCCACAGGTCCACAGCCTGCGGCACCCCTCCCGGCCTCACCCGTGGGCTGCTACACCAGGCGCCCTCCATTCTTGCCCCCTGAGCCATCGCACCCCCGGAAGGTGATGGGGTGAGGTATCACCCACAAACCTGGGAAGGACTATGAACCTGAGATACATGGGGAGTGAGTGGTGGGGTGCTAAGGGGGGACCTCAGATGTAGTTCAGGGCTGTAGGGTCTTCTTGGGGAAAAGAGCAAGATATGCAGTCCTACAAGTGACCCAGCTTTAACTGCGAAGTGGAAATACCATCTCCCAGCTTCCTCTAAGCTCAGTCTACAGAAGGCAAAGGTCCCTCTTGGCCCGGGGACCTGGTGGGTACTTAAAGGGGGATATGATATAGATATGAATAATTTACATTGGTATAAATTTTACTTTATTGATACAAGTTTAAGGTCAATTTTGTTATATGTATATGTATTTCTGATCTTGATTAAGGTATTGTGATTGTGTAGTTCATTGAAAATGTAATGTATAATTAGGAATGTATAGGTTGTTAATGGATAATCATCAATAATAATCAAGCTTGTAGTCATGTTAGTTAGATTTTCTAGATATATAGAGATATATTTCAGTTAGATAGGCATTCTTCATATCTTTCAAAGACTACAATATATGGCATTTAATGTTTTAATAACTTAGGGCTTTTCATGACAATGAGACACGTCTGCTCCTGGCAGCACCAATCTACTTCAAGAGAAAGATGGGCATCGAAGAGACTCCTTATGGAGTTGGTTAGCCATTTGGGTAAGAAACTACTCTTGCCTGGACTGCTTCATTGGACAGGCAAAATCCGCAGAGGGAGGATTGCTAAACTTGCCTAAAGGTGAGATGATCCTTCGGGGTTCCTGTTTCATGGAAGAGTCTGAGAGACATTTTACAGGACACAAAAAGTGACTAAACTGTCTTTGAAATTTCCTGCTTCATGGAAATGTCTGCTGGATGCTATGAGCCTGTAGGCCAAAGATGGATGCCCCAACGGTACAGAAGAACTTTGGGTGACTGCCCAGGTAGCGAGATGTCTCTGTCGTTTCTAGAATTTTGGAAGTTGCTTACTTCTTGTTTACTTAAGTAATATATCCTTCTGGAGTCTTTGATAGAGTTAAAAAAACAGATAGTTATAGCTTTCCATTGTTATTAAAGATAAAATAGATCTAAATATTGTAATTGTAACTCTTGCTTGATAACTGTTTTATTATATGTAATTTTACTAAGTTAAAATAAAAGCCTTTCTTTTTGTTTAAACAGAAAAAGGGGAAATGGTGTAGGAGGTCTTTCTGCATTTGTGTTGATTTCATTGGTTGAATAAATAAGCTGCCTTGGCCTTTTGATAGGACAGCCCTTAGGTAGGTGGAGTAGACAAAAGGAAAAAGGCATGCAGAGAGCTGCCCGCCATGAAGCTGCCAGGTCAGACATGCTGAATCTCTCCTGGAAAGCCACAGCCTCGTGGTGACATACAGATTATTAGAAATGGGTTGAATCAAGATGTGAGAGTTAGCCAATAAGAGGCTAGAACTAATGGGCCAGGCAGTGATTTAATTAATACAGATTTCCGTGTGGTTATTTTTGGGTGAACGCTACCCAGCCGGGCAGGATAGAACAAGGGGCCCACACCTCCTACTAGGCTTACAGGCTGTGTGTGGTCCAGCTAGTCCAACAACGACTGCCCACCAATGGAAGGTCCAAGAATCAAGAAGCCAGTAGTTGTTCTGTCCACAAGGCTGGAGTCTTAGCTGGTCTTCAGTATAAGCCAGAATCACGAAGAGGCAGGCTCTAATACCAGTAAAGGAAAAGACTCACCAGGGAGAGCGAGAGCAAACAGGCAAAGAGAGCAAGCTTCCTTATTCCATGTCCTCTAATGGGCTCCCAGCAGGAAGTGTGGCCCAGATTAAAGGTGGATCTTCTCATCTGAAAAGATCCAGATTAAAAGTAGGTCTTCCCACTTCAAATGATTTAATTATGAAAAAAAAAATCGCTCATGGGTATACCCAGACACTTGGGTTTTTAGTTAATTCCAGATGTAGTTACATTGATAACCAAGAACAGCCATCACAGAAAACACCCCTATTTTCAGGGACACCCACTGAAGCACTTGGAAATCTTGGGGGTACAACAACTTAGATACAAAGAAAAAATTCAAATGTCAAAAACAAGAAAAAACATCTCAGCACGGAGCAAACGGAAGTCCCTGTACTAACCCCCCAACATCCCTAAATTTAAAACAAAATTAAGTTACCACAGATACCAAAGTACAAAACCTGGTACTTAGCATAAAAGTTTAACAATACAGAGCCTCGAGAGCCACTTCAGGCTGTTGGTGGCGGCATCTGGCTACCCAGCATCCTGTTCTGTCCCCTTCTGCGACCCTGAACTCAGGACTTGCCTGAATCACTGGAAGCTGTGCTAAGGCGGGGAAGGGACCAGCACCTGCTGCTGCTCCAGCCTGGCGGGAGAGGCTGCGATAGATCACACACTGCACAGAATTCCCTCCCGTTCTGCAGCCAGCTCATGAAGCCCCTAATGGCACGGTGACAGAGGACCAAGGTGGACTCGGCTGTCCACACAATGTCCATGCTCAGATGCTCCCAGACACCCTGCTAGGCTGACGTTTCCCACTGCCCAGTCACTCACTCCCTATGTTCTCGCTGCCCGCTTTACGGCTGTTCTCAAGGACAGACAAGATCTGCAAAGGACGGATGACCTCATGGAGCTTCCACGCTACAGGAAGAAAGACAGAAAAGGCTCTGACCAAACACCTATATAGTACAGAATCCATGTGAGCTGCTGTACTGAGCATTTATCAACACTAAATCACACTTAGCAAAAATCCTGAGGTGACAAAGAAGAGGAGCTAAGGAACCTGCCCAAGGTCACGCATGTAAAATGGTGACAGCAAGACCTAAAACCAGGGGTTCTGCTCTAGCTCCACAGCTACATACACCCTCTCAGTACACATAAATAAATTAGCTAACATGCTAGTCGGTGGCAGGCACTCTGGAGAAACAGAGAAAGTAGTGGGGGTTATGTGACTCTGAGACCTGGGCTCTTTATGTAGTCCTGGCTGTCCTGGAACTCACTATGTAGATCAGGCTGCCCTTGAACCCACAGAGATCCACTTGCCTCTGCCTCTTAAGAGCTGGAATTAAAGGTATGCAGACACATCATGCCACACTAAGATTATTTTCCCTGTACAATACAGTTGCCCAGCCTGTTTTTTTTTTTCTTAATTTATTTGTTTTATGTGCACTGGTGTTTTGCCTGCATGTGTCCATGTAAGGGTGTCAGATCCCCTAGAACTGGAGGTACAGGCAGGTGCGAGTTGCCATGTGGGGCTGGGAACTGAACCCAGGTCCTCTGGAAGAGCACTCAGTACTCTTAACCACTGAGCCATATCTCCAGCCTCAGCACAGCCTGGTCTTACTCTCCTAAGTTCAAGTAATTCTCCTGCCTCCTATAGCAGCTAGAACTGTAAGATCAGGTCAATACACTCAACTTTACATGGAAATTTTAAACTGATTCTGAGCTTTTAGGGTTTTTAGGTTTTCAGTCTTGTGGTACCTTAGGAAAGGGTGTTTCTTTCTGTAGATGGGAGGGTCTGTGTGAGGCCCATAAGCAGGGACATGCGGGGAATATATCCAAAGCCAAGTAACCTGAGCAGGGGCAGCAGGGGAACAGGAACAGCTGCCCCAAGGCAGCAGAACGCTCATCAAGTCTGACCTGACTCTGTATCCTTCCTGCTGCTCACTGGCTACTCTTTCATGTTCTATTGACTTCCAGAGTGAACAGTGAACTCTGAAAACAGAGCCACAACCTCCACACCTCCAGGTCTCTGGGAAAGTCGGTGCTGCTCAATGTGTGCGTGTTGTCTTGTGGAGTCCGTGGACTAGAGGGTTCAGGACAAGCAGGCTTGCCAGGGCAGTGTGGCAAACCCTCTCACCAAGCACCCCTGCATGAGAGGAGGGCGTGTCCCCGTCTGTGCCGAGCAAGCAGCGTGTGAAGGGCACCGCAGGCTGCTTCGGAGCACACCTGCCCGGCTTCACTCTCACATCGGGCAGCCAACACCTCCCCTGACTCAGAATGGGAGGCAGAACCATCCACTGACTTCTGAGCTTCCCGCCTAGCACCAGACCCAGGATTTCTCATCAGGAATGGGTAAGGGGGTTACAGAAGATGCAGAGGGTACCACACCTTCACCCTCACTGATGGCTGCCCAGCCTCTCAATGCCTGGCAAGGCCTTAAGACTACAGATGATGGGGCTCCTGACTTGGTATTTCATATGTCCTGGGTGACGTGGGTCGGCTCTGACGGGGTCAGTGATAACTAAGCCCTGAGAAGGGCCCGGACAAATCTACAAAGGCTACGGACGTTTACAAAGGCTATGAGTGTTTAAATGTGACAGAATTTAGCTCACTGCGATGGATCATCAACTTTACACTTAGAAGACAACCTTCCCTTTTTTTCTTCCCCCCTCACCCAAGCAGAACACCAAGAATCACATACCGCTGGAACCAAGGGCCATGCATTTAAACACTCCCCTTTCTGGTTTCAGTCTTTTTAAAAAGTAACAAAGAGAAAATCACCTTGGCCCAAGTCAGAAACGTTAGGACCCCTTCACACACCTTATTTCCAAAGTAAATTACTGAAATTTCACTTCATTTTATTTTCCAGATGAAGCCTGGGGTGGTGGTTGGGGGCGGGGGCAGATGTATCTTAAAACTCATGGTCCGCAGGCTGAAAAGCAATGGAAGAGAAGAAGGCGCAGGGGAAGCTGCACCACGGCTTCAACAGATCACCCGTGCTGTGCCCGCAGTCCTGTGGGCTGGCGTCTTGGCACAGCTGGCGGGGACAGCAAGAGCGATGTGAGGAAAGACAGAGAACTGACCCTCAAGTTCAAGACAGTGATAGAGGTGACCCTCTGGCCCCACACTGCTCTCCCTCCAGGCCATGGCTAGTCCTGAGGGACCCCTGAGTAGCCCCAGTTGGCATGCGGGAGAATCCCATTGGGTCTAAGGCAGATAGCCCCCTGATAAGAGCCTGTGACTATCTGGGTATGGCAGTTAGCTAGCAGTAAGAGCTGCAGGAGGGGCACTAGCTTCAAAACCGTTCAGGCTCCAGCTCCCCGTTGGTGCTAAGTGCCCTGAGGCCATGGAATCTTATTTTGGGTAACTCTGCACCGAAGCATCCCCGGTAGAGAAGTGGGACGGCAAAGCGACTGGGCGAGACGCGCACAATGAAACCTAACACATGCATCTAGAGAACGGTGCTGCTCTTGCAGCTTCTCCTAAATAGGAAATTTTGCCAAAATATCCGCCTGGCCCCAACACACAGCTGCTACAGCAGGACTTCCTGCCAGTGCACCCGAAACCAAGGCGGCGAAAGAGGCTGACAGGCAAGATGGCATGTGTGCGGAGGGAGACATCAGACAACTTGCACGCTGACAAGCACCTGGAAGCACAGACAGACTCTGCTCCCTTGGGCTTTCTCCAGCACTCACGCGTGCTCTTGGCTCATGCTTCTGGGCCCTCGTTACTGAAAGGGGCCAGGAAATACCTAACCAGAAGCTCCCGCTTTGCCTGGCTCCCCCCTCTCCTCGCTGCTAGCTAATCAGAATCCTCTTTCCAGAGGTCTCTGGCATCAGGTCCCTTCCTCTTTATCTTCAATGCCAACATCCTGGCCCAGTCCTTTGTCATGTTACATCTGAATTATTACCAACTGCTGGGGGTGGGCAAACACCAACCAGTGGCCAAATCCAACCTCCAAGTTAATAACGCTTTCTTTATATAATTTAAATTATTGAGGGGACATCAAAAACAAGATTCATTTTATTTATATGTTTGTTGTTTTTTGAGACAGGGTTTCTCTGTGTAACAGCCCTAGCTATCCTGGAACTTGCTCTGTAGACCAGGCTGGCCTCAAACTCACAGAGATCTATCTGCCTCTGTCTCCCAAGCACTGGGATTAAAGGCATGTGCCACCACCACCCAGCAAGATTCGGCTTTTTGTTATTGTTGTTGTTGTTTTGTTTTGTTTTAGTTTTTGAGACAAGGTTTCTCTGTAGCTTTGGAGCCTGTCCTGACACTAGCTCTTGTAGACCAGGCTGGCCTCGAACTCACAGAGATCCGCCTGCCTCTGCCTCCCGAGTGCTGGGATTAAAGGCATGCGCCACTACCACCCGGCAAGATTTGTTTTTATAATAAATGAAAACTACATGAAATTCTTCTTTCATAAATGACAGCTTCAGAGGCCTGTAGCCACACCCATCTGCATTGCATTATCTTCAACGCCTTTCCCACATTCCTGGAAGGCTGTCCTCTGAGCATGGGCAAAGCCATCTCATCATCACAAGATCAGACTATTAACAGTCCCTCGTGGAAGTGGGGGATTCCCAGCTGGGAGCGATCCTCCCTGAGCTGTGTGTGGCGGGCGCACACTTCAGCATATGAGAAGTGGAAGGTTGGCTGAGGTGAGGATCCTAATGCAGTTTCTGGGAGGTCACCGCCCACCCTGAAATGGAGCTTTACAGAGATGTGACTGTTTTGGGGTGACCCATATTCATTCCTCTAAGTGAGCCCAATGTATTCCCAAAGATGAGCATAAAGTTTCTCTGGTTGGCAGCTGTCTACCCGGAGAATGTCAAAGTCTGTCAGGAGAAGTCAGAAAACAAAACAAAAGCAGAGTTGAGGGGGCTGCATTGGAAAGGACCCAGCGCCCAGAACTGAAATGCCTACTCCCCAGCCCATACACAAAGTGTGCCGACTCCTCCCACAATGACCCTGCACCCCCATCTCTCCGACCCTGTTCCCTATCTTCCAATATGACTTCCAAACTGTTACTCTGGACGCACCACCTCCATAACCTCTGTCTATAAGGTGTGCGGAGGCATACACAGACCCTGGGAACCAACGGC